CTCCCGCTTCCCGAAGCACGGACCAGCAACGGGCTCCTCCGCGCCTCATCCTCGAGGCAGGGCCTGGGCGAGCGCCTCGCCTCAGTCCGTCCGCGAAGCACAAAGGAACAGCGGCGCACTCCGGTCAATGTAAAACCATTTTTTTAATTCTAAATCGCTTTCACAACAGTGAAAATTAGTGAACAGTAATGGTAATGCACTAAACGAGCCGTTATGGGCTGTGTGCGGTCTGAGTACAAGGGGGGGAAGTGGTACCATATGAAAAGCACACCAAGAAAAAGGTAGGAACAAAAGCATTAACACTTTTAGACTATTTCATTCTTGGATTGCCAGAAGATAAGGACTCTCAGTCATGCTTCTGCAGCCACCTCTGACTAAATCCATTACATCTCTCACCAATAGATGGAAAAAAACCCCGAGCCATTAAAACTCTGTATTTTAAAACATTAAGTGTTAGTTAAACCAGTTTCAATACCTCTTGAACCCGTTACAGTCACTTTTCTGTCCTCTTTATCGGAAAAAGGCTTTAAGGGGATACCCTGCTCCTCCCTGGATAACTTCTGCTCTTAGCATCGAGTTTCTCAATACAAAAAGGAGAAGGAAAACCATCCCTTTTAGTATCACACGAACTTTCCCTTTTCATCAGCAGGTGGTGCTGCCTGCTCATGAAAAAAAGTCAACGCTGCGACATTGTACCACAGCCAGTTACTTATAAGAATGCAATAAATTGCCTTTCTCCTAGAAAGGGTCCTAGTTACCAAGTTATGCCCTTGAGAAGAACCATATCCAGAAGTTAAGCTTCTCAAAAGCGCCACACAAAAAAAATCGAAGCACTACTTCAACTATTTATAGTTGTGCAATATATTCTGCCAGATTATCGAGTCAGGTATAAATTTGACCAGATGTGGCAAAACACTGCAGAAGCTTTGCAACATTCTACTTGCCAGATAGAATTTTGGACATAGGCAAGTTAAACTTCAGTCACACTCTGTCTTGATACTAAAAGTGAACAGTTTATAATTACATAAATAAGCTTCTACAACAATTAAGGTGTCCTGCCCAGAAACCTCATCCATACACTAGAAAAACCCTAGCTATTGAAACAAAGTTTCTATGAGTTGATTTATTTTGTCAGTTGTCTGTCTATTGCCAGGGAAGTCACAATATTCATCTTGCAGGAAATCATTATGACTATCACCGATCTGAATCCAAATAATCTAAAAACAGTAAGAGAAAAAAAAAAATGGAATTGCCTAATCAGAGAAATAAGAAAACTGTTCATCTTGCTAGGGAATCTCTCATATCTGGTATTCTGAAGGAATCTACACAAATACGTCAGGAGTACTCTTTAAAGCTGTATACCCAACAGGATTCCAAACCAGCTACAGAACGCTCACCACCTGAAATATTTTCCCCTCAGCACATAAATGATTGTGGTCTCCTCCAGCACTTCAAATTACTATCTTTGGTAGACACTGCAGAGACTTTTGCACTATAGCCATTCTGCTGTGGCATGGAGTAGCTGTATGCACCTGTAGAGAGAAGCTCTTCCAAATGTTCCCTACTGTGGCATGTGCTAGCAAACGCAGGATCTCATTTTTCCTCCTGTATAATTTTACAGTATGACAAGTTTAACCTCAAAACTCACGTAAAGATGCCTTTTTTTTTTTTTCCTCTCCCCAAACAAGCTGATCTCAGATCTCTAATAGGATTTTCTTCGGAGTACATGACCTTGCGTAGGAAGTCTCAAAGCCTCGGGAAGAATAAACGTAGCTACAGTGACAAGGTTGTGAGAGGATTATCCATGAGTGCAGCCATAGGCTGCTGCACAGAACCAAGGAAGACAACACTGCTTTGTCAGTGAGGAACTGGGCTGGGTGAGGCAGACAGGTGCGTCGTACTGTTCGGCAACCCCACCCTGCTCCACAATGAGAGAATCTTCCAGCGTCTGGCTCCAGCAAATTCAGGCTTTAAAAAACTGCAGCATAAATTCATATCCCTTCTTCTAATAGCTGTTAGAACCGCTTCAGGAGGGGTTTTCCATCGTGCCAGGAAATAACAGCAAGAAAAGAAAACAGTCCCCAAACCTGGTTCCATTTGCATCACATGCTGTGCCCGAAGAGTCTCAGCAGTGCTGCACATGATTTCCTGAAGAAGGCTGGATGTTGATGTGAAGACATTAAATAACATCCGCAGCTCTGGCAGATCCATCGTGGTTGCCAAGCATGAGATACTGATCACACTGCAGAAGTTTCCTTACCTGCCCAGTCTGCCTTGGGGCAGCTGTCTTTCACATAAACCTGGTGTCACTGATTGGCACAGGATTTCAAAGCGGCACTCCTTTTAGGAGCAGAGCTCAAAGCTAGGCCCATGGTTTGTGGCAGAAACCTGTTGTACAAGATAGCTCAGCTGAAACAGGCTTTTTAACGAATGTTTAATTCCAACTCTGGTGCAAAATGCAAGATTCCTCATTGTGCTGTGGTACCACCAATTCCTGAAGCCCATAGTTAGCTACGGAACCAGACACCAAGAGGTTTAAAATGGGATGGGGATGCAGTTCGTAACTGTTTCAGTGGCCTTGTTGGCCATGAAGATACAGGATAATGGAAAAGATTTATGCAAGCAACAGCCAGAACATTATCACCAGAGCCACAAACAGGAAGAGGCGGGACAGGAACTGCTCATCCACATATTGAGGAGTCCCTGGAACAGCTGGAAAACAGGAAATAAAAAAAACCAGTTCAGCTCCTTCCTCTTCTCCAGAACTGTGTATATTCTGAATATAGTACATTCATAAATTGAAAGATAAGCAAGGAATATACCTGCTGAGAAACTGTTGCTATTTCCTACCCTCAGACTGGCCAGCCATACTGGAAGATCAGAAGGAAGACAAACATCAGCTCCCTGAAGCAGGACTCGTGGTAAACCTGCTCATGACTAATAGCAGCAGGCAGCTCCAAGTGCTAGAGTATAGGCAGGTCTGCTCAGACTACTTCTGGGGACAGTGCTGAGCTAAGTTCACTGCTTAGTTCACTGTTGAGTGCGGAGCTAAGTTCACTGTTTCCATCCTAAGGAATGTCACCACCTCTACCTGAGTGCTCCTCCCCACTAAGGTGAAACATCTCTGAATAAGGAAATGGTAAAACGGTCAAAGCTGCATGTGTGGCCTTGACCAAGAGAACTAATGAAAAGCACACTTTCTGGAACTGCTGTATTGAATCCACAGACGAAAAGCAGATAAAGGAGTTGGTTAAATTATGGCTGTTACAACAGCATGTATTTACATTCTCCATAGCTCAGTCACACCTCCACACAAATTTTGAGTGGACACTGAAATACAGTTAATAGGCAAGTTAATTTGACCCAAGGACAGCACAGGTCCTTGGCAACACAGGTGTGACACGAAGAATGTGTTTGTTTCTCGTAATTCCTATGCCACATGACATGGTGAAGATTTGCCAGGCACAATCTTTCATAGAGGAAGTCCAGAAAATCCTGGGCAGTAGGTTTTCTTGTTCAAAACAGGTAGACTCAGTTTGTCTACAGTGCACATGGGGAGGAGGTTTTCTGGGGATTACTTAATTTTTAGAGAGCGAGGCCACTACTTGGAGTAACCCAACTGTTTTTTCTTCATTAAAACCAGTCAAATTCTTTCACCAGAAAGGTACTTCTTGTGGAATAGAGATTACTGTCTCAGAGAAATTTCTGAAAAAGGAACAACCTCTGTCATCATTATTTTGTGGTACAGAGCACCAGTTTAAATTTTTCCTTCTCATCTTTCAGGAAAATGGTCCTTTCCTGCTCTTTTCAAAATATGGGTCTCCTTCATACACCCCTACTGACTCGTTTTTATTATTATTAGAACCTCTAGTCCAATTTGTCTCATTTTTCAGAGGGAGTCCACTGCAGTACCAGAGGAGACACTTGAATTAAAGGGGAGAAGTCTCCAGTGCCACTGTCCCTCTCCAGTTCTACTGTTCTCTCAACAGGGCCTTCAGCAAATCACATGGAAGTGACAAACTTGCCTCTTAGAAAAGCACTCGTACAAAACCTGTAAGACATGGACTACGTTCTCTACTGGGTGTTTTCCCTCATTTTGTGTTTCTATATACAACACTGATTTACTTTACCATTCAGAAAGTTTTGTCATTTAGCAGGCTATTGTTTAAAAGCTACAAGGGAGTTTGTAATACATCTGTTTGTGACAGGACTCTTGGAGAAGATAGGATGCATGGTACCTGGAGGAGGTCGCCCGTCGTTTATGTTGAATGCTGTTGCAAATATACCAAAGGGAAACGCCCCAATTCCAAATGACATCTGGAAGCCACCATCGCCAAACCCAAAGCCCTGGAACCCCTGCAGAGAACAAAGCAACAGAAGAGAAAAAAGGTACCAATCATTTAAAGCCTATTTCAGAATATTCTGAAAAAGTGCAGACATTCCCTCTCACTGGCTTTCCTACGGCTGAAGGAGTATCATGCTGGCTGGCAACTTTCAGTCTGCCATGCTATTGTTAAATACCCACTTAGTTCTCCTGGTTTTAGAATGTTTCACACAGTAGCAAACTTGCCAGAGTAACCCAGAAGTTTGAGAAAACAGAAACTAGGAACCGCAGTTCTTGCTTGAAGGCCACAAATTAACAAAAGCATTTCTGTAAGGTTTCTCAACTTAAAATAGTACATATCGGACAATATATAAAAATCAACATTACCAATTTATTCAGAATGTCTTAAAAATGTATTAATTCTGTATTAATAGCTGTTAGCCATATAACTATAAGAAAGGCATTGTAAAAAAATAATCTGCATTAATTTTCATGATACATGTGCATCATTTAAACATTCAGTAAAATGATAAATTGCTAGTGGGATGCACAGAGCATTATAGAGAAGAACAGTACCAAAAAAAAAAAAAAAGTTACCAGGGGGACTCTAATTGAGGTGGCAGATAAAGTCATCTGGGACAGGAATGCAAGACATACGGAAAGGAGGAAAAAAGGAAGAGTTACAATGCAACAACATTGACCCCTACGGGATCTAGACTAAAATTCCACATCAAGTCAAGAGTCTTCTGAATCAAGCTGAATCCTACTGTATAAAAGCAATGCACTATTTGAGAACCAACTGTATATGAATCTAAGTAGTTGCATCATGTTTAAAAACTGTGGAGAGCTCACAGTCGCTATGTTCTGTAATCCAGCAAACTGTCCTCTGGTCTCAGAATTAAAATGGTGATACCAATTCTGAAAAACCCTGTGGTCTACCACCTCCAAACAGTGGGAGGACAAGATGATTTCACTCGTATAATATAAGCCAAACATTTCTGGGTTTATCCTTGATTTCAGGAGTTAGTCTTTTGATTATGACTCTTCTCGAGTGTTTTGCCATTAACTATCAGGGACAGCAAAGCACTCTGCATGGCAGGTCCTGCACCTGTAGGAAACAGGATGGCAGCAGCACTACTGCTACATCTTCATACCAGATTCCTCTGACTTACAGCAGCACCAGCTAAAAGGTTCAAGCAAGGTATAGCAGCTGATTTAATAAGGCGGCAACTCCCCAGTGAGAGAGAACCGCTGAGCTCCCAATACATTCAATACAGAAATGTTCCTTAATCACACCCAGCAGAGTTGTTTGCTTGAAGCATGAGGTATACAAATGCTCTCTGGGGACCCCAGGCTGAGTTACAGGGAAATATGCAATTGTTTCATCAGGTCATGCTCACTGTCATCGTGCTAAAGAACACTGTAGTCTGTCCTACTGGCTACTCCCAAATCTGTTCAAGCTATGCCAGCTGTTTTCATGAAGCACGATTGAAGTTAGCCCATTCTTTGGGATGCTAAAGAGTACTATAGGAATGGAGTTTTCTGCCACACAGCAGCTATCAATTATTCATGAACAACCTACTGGGGATGAGCAAGAAATGTAAGCTATAGCATCCTCACACAGGATCTCATGCACACATTATGTAGGATGAATAAATACCACCATCAATAAAAACAACTTATCTGCTCGAGCTTGTTTTTTCACTTACCCCTCTGTTCTCTGGTTCAGGTCTCTGTCCTTGGGGTCGTGGCGGAGTTTTCTCTCTGCAGGAAGTTACGAAATTAGGTCAAGTGCAAGGATACATGACAACAGTATCTGCAATAGCCTGGCTAATAAGACAGAACAAACACAGAGCATGCTCTCACAGGGCCATGCTGCAGCAGAGCTGGAGGTAGTGCATGAGCGAGTAAACCACCCAGCTGTACAAACCTTCATCATCGCATCGCTGAATTAAGACACTGCACTTTCGAATAACAAAGTCCCATTGCAAAGGCTAGAAACTGAGGATATGAACATTTTATATATGCTTCTCCAGATAACATTCATTGCAACCTGTCAGTTGTAACTGATAATTAACACCCAATTCAAATCAAAATAAATTGCCAGTTGAACAAGAAATGAGGTGTGCAAACCCAGGCCCTGAAAAAGCCAGAAATATTTGGCAGAAATGTCAGTTCTATCTGTCTTTTGACGAAGTATTTCAACTTGTGAATCCAGCACTTTGGTAGTTTCATATTAAGACCTTAAGCTAAAGTTTCATCTTTAGTTTTCACAAAAAAATAGTTGTATTTAGGTTTCTCACCTGGGATCCTGTTGCCCAGTGCTACCTCTTCCATACAGAGGAATAACTTTATCTCGACTGATTCCTGCTTTGCATACAGGACAAACTTGTCTGTTTGGCCTGGTCTCTAGCCACTAAAAGAAAGGAAATTATAAGAAAACTAGTAAAAGACCATGAAAACAACAACATGCAAGTCTCATTTGCAGCCAGGGAGAGACACTTTAGTGATTTCTCAGAAAGCCAGGGAGCAAAATGTTTTAATAAGTGCCAAGTACTCTCCAAAGTGTTGGCATTTTGGCTATTGTTCAGGTATGACCCACTTGCTGATGTGTATACATTCAGAACTGCACTGGAGTAAAATATGAAGAAGTAAACAGTACCGACAGTCCTGCACAGGCCAAGGGCTAGTGTAGATACTGTCTTTTCATCTATCTTTTCTATAACCGTACCACAATGTAAAACACTACATATGCAAAGAGAAGCACACTTAACACTTAAGCCTGCAAACAAAATCCCTGTGAACTGCCTACAGTAATTCTCCTACCAAAATTGGGAATACTCAGTGTTTTAGAAACTCAAAAGTAGGAGGCAAGTGGAACACAATCTAAGTTTTCTTTTTGCTGAAAGAGCAGATTTCAAGGTGTTCCGCATGAAGTTGCATTAGCACATTGCAGCTGCCCTGGAGAGAAAGAAGTGCATTTGAAAAGAGGGGGATACTCCAGAGAACCAAGGGCTTTATTGAGTAATAGGAGCTGATGAAAGACAAAGTAAAAGGAAACCTGTCTTACCTGGTGTAAACAAGGCCAACTGTGAGCATTCCCAGGACAATTTGTTCAAAGAGCAGAAAAAGAGGGGAAAAAAAGAATTAGTTACTGACAACTCAATCCAACAAATGTATAAAGTGTACCATGGAAAGCACAGCTTGGAGACAACAGAATCCTGGAATCCAGCTGGGCTAGTTCCACAACCTCCCATTAAAATAATTTTTGAAAGCACAGCCCAAGACCGATCTCCACTGGTCTTTTTCAGGTTATGCAATCTGACTAAGTTGTTAACGTGATTCTCTGCATACCACCTTTGATTCTTGGGTCCTCATCCCTACCAAAGGCCCATTCAGAGACGTAATTAATCTTAATGTTTACTGGACAGATTTTCTCTTCTGATACTATGAAAAGGTAACCCTGAGCTAAGATGCAAACGAGGAAGATGTCCATAATGAGACTTCAGGACCTTAAAAGAAGTCACGCAAGGGATATTTAGCTAAAACATTGGCCATATTCACAGAATCATGGAATAATTCAAGCTGGACAGTACCTCAGGCAGCCTCTAGTCCAACCTGATGCTCAGAGCAGGGTCAGCTATTGAGATCAGACCCAGTTGCTCAGGGCAGAGAAATTCCCATTATACAGAACTACTCTTGATTAAGTTAATATGGTAACTTAAAAAAGGTCAAAGACAAACGAGCAAGCTACGAGATAAAACTGTTAAGCAGCCATCTGCTTTCAAACTGGTCTTGAGAACGCTATTCAGACAAGATACATGCTATTTTTAAGGTTCCATTCTTCCAAATCCTTTTGTGCAATAATTTAATCTAATCTTTTCTTGACATGCCATCAACAAGTGATTTTTCCGTACCATCCTAGAATAAAATCCTGGGTTTTCAGATGTTACATACATTTACACAGAAAACAAATGCTCTTTCAGGCCTCTTTTTATTAAAAAGCATAATTTAGCCTACTGTGTAAAATAAAGCAAAAAAACCCACCCCACTTGGCCATGTCAATCCTTAGTAACTTCTTAACATTCAAGAAAGAGTATATTCTAGACCAAGTTACCCAAATAAGAAATGCTGCATGCTTATTATGTTTGTGTGATACATTCCCAAGTCAGACCAAAGAACTGAAAAGTTAGTATTACAACTGCAATACCATGGGAAAAAAGAAATAACCCACATGTAAAACTTCTTATCTATTTTTTTTTTTATGGTTTCAAAGGAAAAAAGACCAAGCTCGTAGAAGTATGAAAACTACAATTTGGCTTCTAGAACCTAGTTTCAGATGCAGGTTTAGGTATGAACAGGTTAGAAAGGAATTTGGTCTGAACAAGATATCTATGCTAGACCAGACAGCACAAATAAAATAATGCACATAACCAAGCAGTATCAATGAACACTGAACTGGCTATGTAGGGCTGCTTGTTTGTTTGCTTTTACAAAATAATCCAGAAGTATAGGAATTTTAAGATGTAAGAAACCCACTCCCTGGAACATGAGCAAAGAAAAACAGTTGAGGAGCAAACCCAAACTGCTCCTAAACCAAAAGCATGGTCCTTATCATTTTAAACAAGACATTTTATTTGACATCTAGAATTATAAAAATCATAGGCTTTTATGTGATCAGAGAGATATATGGTGACCTGCTTTATCTGTGGGGGCTTGAGTACTTACCAGAAGAGATGTCCACACAAGCTGATAACTGCATCCTTGGCAGTGTCTAAACAGATGTTGCATTCAAAAGTGTTGTCCTGATTAGCATTGTCCCCAGCACCATTACTGCTACTACTGCCACTGGTCCCTCCAGTACTGGAGTTCTTTGTTGACGCAGAAGTTGTGGGTCCTTTGCTCGCCATCCTCAACAGCTACCCAGACACAAGGTCAAGAAAATGTTCCTGTTGGAATCCTAGCAGCGAGAAAGGGGAAAAAGAAAAAAAAAGAAAAAAATTTCTTGGCATTATAACATTGCATTCTTGTCCTGTTCCAAACTGGTAGTGATTTATCTAAGACACACTTGAATCCTGTTGTTGATGGTTTTTTGCTTAACATAGTCAAGAGAGATCTTTTTTAAGAAACCAAGCTACTTTAAAGTCCTGTAGTATGACCTGGCTGATATGTGACCTGTATTATAAGTTACTGATAAGCAACTGAGATCCACAGCCAAAACAAAACCATTGTATTTTCTCATAAATACCATTTGCTATAAGAAGAATGAGCTCACCCAGTCATACATGCTCTTCCAAAGATTCAATGCAAGTTATAACTGTGAGTGCAGTCTGAAATAGGATTTAATCATGAAGCAATTGACAGTTTGGACAGACTGACTTAATGCATAGTTTTAAGTTCAATGTTCATTAGTTTGGAATATTAACGATAATAATGGCAAGCAAAGGTGGCTTAGTAGTTGATTTGTCTCATCAGCAGTATATTGCTGCTATCACAGCAGTGTGTTGATGTGACTATCAAACATTTCTAATCTAGTAGTAATGCAGAAGTACTAAAAATTTTACTTTCATGTGCTTTAATTTTATTTACATGCTTTCACCTCTCATTAACATCATCATATTTATCAAAGAACACCATTTATTTTATTTCAGTAGCAGCAACCTCTACAGTCTAATTCCTTGATATGCAAATTCCACAGTACCTAAAACTCTGAGACTCAGCGTAAGGCATTTACATTTCCAGAAACAAACACTTTTACCAGTACAAGATATTCAATCCAAGAACTAAAAGAGTTTCAGCAGTTACAGAACTTAATTCACCAGAACAAAAATGTTTAAAATATTCCACCGTGCTTTTCATGAAACTCCGACATTGTGTTGCTGCTGCAGGGATATGAATACTTAGTTAAGGTTGTGAGAGAGAAACGGTGAATATCTGAACTTTTTGCAAGTGTACAAACAGTTAATCATTTTAAAAGGGCAACCTGAATTTTTCAGAATCTAATTTCTTTGCAAACTTACCCCACAAGCATTAAAGGCTTTCCTTAGTGTTCCCTCTTTGTAGCAGTGCTGAAGCACAGATGCAGGGCAGCAAAATAAAGCCTCAGTATCACTAGCTGTTGCCGTCAACAGCTTTTTTCATACAATACAATCCCACTGCACAGTCAAGAAAGCATCATACTTGAGCCTCATGAAGGTATTGCAGCGAAGATACTCAATTACAGCAAGTGAAATGTATTTTTGCAGAGCTTTTTCACTCAGTTACATCATTTTGCACAGTGTCCCAGAAGGGCAGCTTTGTATTCACAGATGCTGTACTTTGACATACATTGCTTTCAGCACTGCTGACTCTCAGCGTTTCACAGAATGACTTCATTTACACTCAGCAGCAACACAGTTCATTGTACAAAATTAAAATTCATGTTAGTTCAAGGCAGATGGCAATGCTGCCAGCCCACAAACTATACACTAAAGACACTTGCATTTTCCACACATCCTTACTACCAGAATCTTCAGCCTATCTTGTTCAGTAGTTTAATGCTTGAAAACTTACCAATTTGGATCTACATATATTTGCTGGGGATTAATATCAACATCAGGAAAACCTCCTTAAAACTAAGGAGTTCAGCACATTGTAAAAAACTCGAGCATCATTTTATGGAGCAGGCATCGGAAATGTCTGGCTCTTGTATCCTGGCATGTAACACAAGGAAAACATGTAGAAGAGGCAAATAAATTAATTTCTGTGTCCCTAAAACCAATGTGGAAAAAAAGGTCCTTTTTACCAAATTACATTCTCTATATTTAAATACCAGAAATCTGGAGATTCATTAAAAAGATAAAATTTGTATCTTCACAAACACCTACTTAAAAAAACCCTTAGCTTTTAGTAACTATGAAAAATAAATAAATCATTATGTTATGAAGAAGGATAATAGAGAAATCCATAGAAATATCAGTAATGTAATGGAATAAAGATGGCCAAGACAGAAGAAATATCAAAATGATATAACGCAAGAGACACTGAATCTACTCTCCTAGAAGAAGGTCATTCTTTAGTCTGTATTGGGATCCTCACCTAATTATTTCTCCACAGGCTGATTGGGCCTGATGACCTATTAGGATATAACCAATTTAAAATATCAAAAATATATCAAAACACAACAATAAAAATAATCAATTTATTCTGAAAAGCCTTCTCAAACATTTGCTCTTGCCCATGGCATACTGTTTAACATAACTAGGTCTATAACAAGTGCTGTTGGGGTCTGTTCATCTGCAAATCACATTGCACATATACAAAGAAGCAAGCGTGAAACAGCATCCAATGACCAATTTACATTTGATAATCATATATTGTGTCATACTCTGTGAATCCTGAAGTAGAAGTTCAACTGCAAATTCAACTTGTTCTGAGCATAGAGCAAGCTCAAAATTGTTGAAATGTCACTTAAACTCTGAGACAAAACTTTTTTGGGGGGGGGGGGGGGGAAAAAAAAAAACAACAAACAACACCAAAAAAAAAAAAAAAAAAAAAAACAAACCACAAGCCAGCCACAAACTAAAAAAAAAAAAAAACAAACCAAACAAAAACCCCAAACCCAACCAACACAACAAGCCAAACCAACCCCATTTTCATTTCAATGTAGAGTTTAGAAGGAAAACTGTGAGTACACTGGGATATAACATGACTTTTGGGGTTAAATAAACAGAATTTAGAGATGCCAGTCCACATCTGCTAAACCCTTGTCCTTTAGATCAGATCTCCAAATGAACCCTAGACACATGATGAGTAACAAAGAAAGCAAGTGAAAGGATATAAAAATCAGCTGTGATCTAATGGCAAACATTCAAAGATCTTCTCTTTTTTCTTTCTTGCTTCTTTGCTCTCTAGATATTTACAGGAAAACAGTATCTTTGTTACTTAAAAGTCATCTATATTAGCTGTTTATTTCATTTAAATCATGACCCCTATGATATCCCAACAGGTTGTTCTGAAAATGACTGAATCACTGACGTTTACTACATCCAAGAATCAAGAGTGGCAACAGATGAATGGTTAAGAAACAAAGAACCCATTTTCAAGTAGTCTTCCTAAATAAAAAGTCTGGTGGAGCATGAAGATGACATGGAAGTGAAGATACACGTTTAGGGATCCAGCACAAATCCGAGTTGCGTAAAGAATAAGCATGGCAGAAAGAGCTGGTGAAACTGGACCTCCGAGAAGCAGATGGCACACTGGGACATGCAAGTTTCATGACAATTGAGAGCACAGGAGGTCCGTGAAAGAAGTAAGTACAGGAAACTGGTAAGATCTATGTACTGTGTATAAACACTGTGTATAAATCTCACTAACAAGCAATAAGAAAGAAATTTTACTCAAATACTTTAAAAACTAAATCTATAAATCTAGTGTGAGCAACTGCACAGCAGGAAAATGTGAGCTGAATGGCTACTGCAAAAGATCACATTTCTGAACTCAGCAAATGAAAAATGACCGCATTTGCCAAAGTACACCGACCTGACTCTAACAATACAAGAGAAACACTTCAAGACAGACTGGGAGAGTTTCCACCATAACTTAAAGTATACAAAGAAATCCACTGGAAACAGAGCAGGTGAACAATAATTCAACCTGAGAAAGACAGAGAGGGAATATAAATTAGAAGCTAATGTAATCGGTATGAAACAGTTGTAGAATACATCTTCACAGCACTACAACATTAGGACGTTTGAAGTATTTACTTTTTAATCTTCTTTCATGAGCAATGAGAAAAAATTCTGGTGAGCATATAGGACTCTGGCTACTTCATTAATAAAACCCAAAGGGTTATTCCTCTTTGCGGTATCTAACACATAACAATGAAATAAAAAGAAGAGCATTGCTGGATGTAAAATTCCACTAGAAAGACACTTTTCCATATTTCTGTCCTAATGAATCTTATTTTATCTAGTATTACTGAAGTTTAAATAATCCAAATCTAGTTTGTTTCTGAAACAAGTTCTGATTTAGTTTCTGAAATTTTGCTGTTTAAATCAAAAGGAAAACTTGTCAGGTTATTTTTCTTATCGCTACAGTGACAATGTAATTTTCAGACACGTATGACAAATTTTATAAAAGGAATAGTAACATTAGAAATTCTATCTAAATCTAAAAATATTACTCAGAGTTTATATAAATACACGTACTCATAAGTTTAACAAAAATCTGATTCTTAACCTATTACAATTGCCTGGACTTCAAGTAAAACAAACAGGTAACCTTAGCTGATAATTGCTGACAGTGCCTAGAAGAAAGTACGCTTACTTCTTGACAGGCATTTTCAGATGTTCTTAGCAAATACATGACTGAAGTCCCACTGTTAATCATCACTTACCTCTCGCTACCTTTTTACTCTATTCCGTCCCCATTAACACCTCGGAAACATTTTCTGAGTTCACCTTTTCACTTCCTGTAACCTGTACAGCATCACGTACCTGCTTTTTAGTACTACCATAAAGTGGTCCCAACATACAAGTTTGTGTGATCACTGGGTCTTGCAAAATCAGCCATTTGCCTTACAGACTAATGTGCCAATCACTTCATTAACTGGGATTCTGCAACGTACTCTGTGTTACAGTCGCTGCTTCCAGGATAAAAGCCCTGCTGAAAGACTGTTTTGGCAACTCTAAGGATTCAATACACCTCACAAATGCAAGACATTGTTACAAACTATCAAAAAAAGCAAGTAATTAAAGTAATTCTTTTTTTTTAACCACTCCATAAAAGTATAATATAGACTCCAAAAAAATGTTGCACTAATCTTTATAGACAAAGATTTTATCCTCTTACCTCATAGAGTCCAAAGGGAAAAAAAAAAAAAAAAAAAAAGAAAACCGATATAACCAGTTGGGTAATACTGCCTGAGCAT